TGGACAGAAAATTGTATGAGTAGGAGAAAGGACTATAGTGTACAGCAGTGATACGATTAGTCAAAATTCACATACAAAACAGAACATTAACATCAAATATCGCGAAGGAACTGATTTTAAGTAGTATCAGGAAGCTCAATGCAGCATAATAACAAGATGTGCCCAGGAAAGGTGGGAAAAGAAAAAAAAAAAAATCAATCAAATAAAATATAACCAGCATGTAGCATTAGTTAGAATAGAAGTCAAAAAGCAATAGAAAAGAAATTTACATTTGTGTTTATGGCAGTTTTAGTGATAGGTCTAGCTGAAGATGCAGAGGTGTTGTTGCAGTAATCTTCTGCTGGCGGAGGTAATACATTTCCTGAACGCGGCTGCGCAGCATTTGCAGAACCGGTAATTTGCTGAACTCTACTCGTTCCGAATCATTATGTTAGTCATACGATACATGAGAGGCAATAACATCAGATCCATAAAACATATCAGACAAAAATCAAAATAGTAGCAGACACATTTTTTCCCGAGACATCCACAAATGAGTTCCAGTTCCAAAAATGATAATTTTCTGTCCAAAACAGTGGCACTTATTTAAGGGGTGCGAATTTGGGACGGACTCCCCATTAATAGATGAAAAACGGATGCCACTTATATAATGCCATGTGGAAAATTAAATTAAATATTAGTTAATAATCTTGATGGGACCCAATTTAAAATTAAAATTGCATGGGCGAAACAAGTGAATTGTATATTTTCTCTTTGTTAGTGTCTTATTTATTTTTGAGATAAAAATTTAATTTCCTTAGATTATCAATTACCAAAAATTTCATATATTCTTTTATTTAATTTTTTTGAAAATATTTTTTTTATTTAAATCGGAATATTCAAGTGTGGGTCTTCTACTGCCACGTGTCCTTTTTTGCATTTTTCTAAAACCCCTAAAGGTTAACCCAAGTGGGAGAAAATATAATAAGTAATTAAATATTACACATGGAAGCAAAAGACTCACCCGGTATTTATCACTGGGTATAGGGTCGAAAGAACCATGGTTGTACGCAACAAAAACATTTTATTAAGAATTATGCTAATTAAAAATAAATAATGCAAACTAAGATGTGAAGCATGACAAAGCTCAACAAATTTTAATTAACAAAAAGATAAGAAAAATAAAATACGAATAGGATAAGTATTTCTATTTTAATAAATGGTTTGAAATGTAGCGAGAGAATGATAGTGCAATACTTAAATCTTTTGTACAGGTGTCATTCAATTAATGGACTCTGTTTATCACTTATTAACGGAGAGTCCGTTTATAATTTAATCTCTTATTCAAGATATATGTATATGACAACCAGCACCAGTAAACCACTACTTTTAAGGTTTAAAAATGCGAAAATACCAGACATTTGCCTTTTCAACTCGTTTAGAAATTTATACCAATTTAAATATGGACATTTAATAACAATTAACAGGCCAAATCAATATGAGAGAAAAGGAAAATATATAGGTTGCATCCCTGTTACAACTATCCTCTTGAGAACCAATCTTATGCAAATACAGACAATCTGGAAAATTTACGGCTGAATGAAACCAGATATCGAAATACCTTGTGTAAGCAGATACTATTTCATCCTTAGTAAAACTATCCTCTTGAGAACCAATCTCATGCAGATATAGACAATCATGATTTCCGCAAGGCTGGACCAACATGTAAACTCTTTATTAGGAGACACAATGTATAAACCAATAAGCTGTGGGTGCAATACCCGAGCATCTGTAGTATCAACAAACTAATGAGTTTGTGACAAATTTAATTGTGAAAGGTATAAAAGACATACCATATTTTTCAGCCATGCATGACAGTATTTTGTAGTCCCAAAGCATGCCCTGCAGCAGGGGTTCTCAACAACAATCTAATATCACAAAAGATGCCAAAGTACATGAATGCAGTACGACACTCACCTCAAAGGCCTACCATCCAAAACAAACCCATGCACCAACTGGATACACCGGACTGCTTCCTCCTCCTTTGAATATGTTATATATCTAAGCCAAAAAAAACAACGGAAATAATTATATTAAAGGATGCAGAAACGGGTATGAAATAGTTCGTTGATAGTACTAAACTAAGATGTAATGCTGCAGAGAATATTACGTGCAAGCAATCTCAATCATTAAAGTTTAACATGACTTAAACCCTAAGATTTGTAACTCTAACCCTGGGTGAGTAGCTCATAGACGAAGTAATCTGATTTTCAGACTAGTTCATAGACACAACAACTATAAACATCAGGTGTCATGACCTATAATTTAATAAAATTATATTTCTAAACTTATCATGGATCTGAGGCTGTCATTCCTCCCATGCTAAATAAAATATATAAAGCAGACAATACGACAATCCTCATGAGCATTCCCGTAAACATGCATTAATTCCTTAGAACTTTAAACAACTCCCCAAATCAACCAATATCACATAAAAAAAAATTATCTCAGGAAACTTGGAACCTACACACTGCATGTACTATTTGCAAAATGTTGTATGGCACCAGATGCTGTACGCGATATCGACACCTTCAGCACCTTTCCATACTGACCAAAATATGCTCTGCGATGAAGAACCTGCTCAACCAAAATCAACATTAATAAGACAACCAAAGGAGATTGGGGAGGAAAACAGAAAGATACAGGGGAGGTATTTACATCTTCATCTGCAAAATTCAGTGGCAAGCCCACAACATACACAAGAGTCCTCTGGATAACTCGCACATCGCCAAGTTGCTTCCTTCCTTCTGAGGTTTTGCTCTTTCCCTTGTGTGACTTAAACTTTTTCTCCACAGTCATCTCTGACATCAGCCTATTACCATACAAGGCAGATCACAGTCAAAGCAGGTAGCACTAAAGGAAACCACTTAATAAAATAATGTAATTACCTTTCACATTTTGCTGTAGTTCCAACAATCTTTTCCTTGTTATAAGGAGTACGACATGCTGGACAACGCCCTTCAGTCTCATCTTTCTCAGCCATACCCATAATATGATGCCAACACCAAACACAAATCTACAGAGAGGAAAAGATTCACATCAAAGCAGAAAAAAAAAAAAAAAAAAAACAGAGCGTAAAGAAAGCGAAGACAGCAAACAATCATGTACGGTTGTAGATGATTAGCTATTAACTGCATGGAAATGAAGCTCAACGATCATAGCAAAGAAACACAACCTCACCAGCAGCCATCCCAATTTACAGCAGTGTCTACTATTACTTGCAAAAGAACATAATATTTTCAACTATATTTGCTTAATTTGAGAAACTTTGGAACTTGCTATCCTATGTCATAATGTTGAAAGTTCTGCAGCTTTGCCCTTCACCTATTTACATTTTGGAAGATCTTTCAATAACATTTGGCTGGTCAACCTCATAATCGGCTTTCTGAAATCTCTGAGATAGAATTGCCTCGTACTTTCAGAAACTTCCGAACTACAAACTTGGAAGTTTCAAATGAAATGTCTGCTAGAACTGCTCACCTTCAGCAGTTACAGGCTAAGTATATACACTATATAGGGCATAATCGAGTAGACCGAGAAGGCGAAAAAGAACACTCTAGGAGAAAGAGGAGCAATCAACATAGTACAGCTCAACATCCTGAGCTTGTAAATTGGCGAAATGGAGATGAATATGCTAGAGAGGATAAAGGTTTGCAGGAATTGAAGATGGCAACAAAAGTTGACAGAAGTAAAAAAAAAATCACAAGAAACATGCACTAATGTACCTCATAGCCACACTTGCAAGGCTTCAACTGCTGATCAGTTAAATCCATCTCCTCGGCGCAGAGGGGGCAGCTCTTCTCCACTTCGTCATTCATTTTCGCCTAAAGAACAGTATATAAGTTATATTATCACAAAAGTAGATATTAATTCAACCCAAACATACAAATCTTTTTAGCTCTATAGAAACAACCAACCATTGAATGTAGATTACTTAAAAATGCAATAATAAATTAAAAGTGGTTCCCCGTTCCTCAAAATGAAGAAAATATTCAACCTAACGAGTTTTTGGAGGAATAAATCGACTAAAACCAAAAGGATAAAATCCGAATATTAATTCTGGAAAATTTGAAAAAAAAATTAAAACTTTTTTTTAGGAAAAAAAAATCATTTTTACCTACCAAATCCAAAGTCAAACCCTAAAAAATCCTTTATCCATGAAATAAAGTTTACACGCTTCCAAAATTAAAATCAACTATCCAAACACAAAAATCTTAAATAATTCCCACTAATTGTTAGCCAATTAAAAGTGAATCCAGTACCAGACAAAATAGACACACATGGTCAAAATTAAAATCAGTTAAAAAAGAACACTCTAGTGCAGCAATTGAACTTAAGACAACCATGAAATCAACACAAATCAAATTGATTCATCGAATAAAAAAAAATTAGATTTTACCATCAGTAAACAGAATGAGAGATCTAAATTGAGGAATTGAGATTGGAAAATGCGGCGACTTACAGAGTGGATGATTGGATCGAGGAAAAGGTGTATGAGATGAATAGCGACGCAGAGATATAGATATCGATAGAGAGAGAGAGAGCCACAAAGAGACTGCAGTATTCAGAGAGAGAGAGAGTCTAGAGAGAGAAAATTAGAGTGAGGAAAGAGAAGAGGCGGATTCGGACTATGGATCCTTTTATGCAGTTTCTATTCAGTCGGGTTTGAAGTTTGATGTCGGGTTTGAATCCGGGTTGAGATCTGGTAATTATGGAGGATCCGACTTATAAACGGTAGGTAGCAAATCTAATTGATGATGGGATATGCATGTTAATCCTGTGGGTGGTGTTTGTATTGGCTGAAAAATCAAATGAATCGTCTATAAAAAATACTATATATAAATTTCAGAATATTCTGTTTTCTGTCAAAAGAAAATATTCTATTTTTATTCCTAGAGAAAAAAATCAAGTGTAATTTTCGAACAACAAATATTTTCATTATAAATTATAATCGGGTCGGGATTAAGAATGTAATATATATATATATATATATATATTGATGGATCATAATTTGCATCCTCGAGACTTCCCTTTGAACTCAACTCACTCGATCGTCGGGTCCTAGATTTAGATGGCGATGAATAAGTGATCGAGAAATGTTAAGAGAGACCAAGTGTAAAACTATTTTATTGATGTTGAATCGTAAACCTAATAGGGCTCTTCATATTCGTTTTGTATAGAAAATTATACATGGTTATTTCATAATTTTAGATCTCTATTCGCCATAATTTTTCCTTGATTGATCAATTATCAACCCTAATTTACATTTTTTTTTAATTTATGGAAATTACGATACGATCTTCCTCTCCAACGGCTATCTTCAAGTTCGTCACCTACCAACCCTTATTCACCTTTTTACGCAACTTGTTACGTGTTAATTGGCTTTTATATGCGCGAACTGCATGTTCAACGATCTCCTTATCATGAGTCCGGCTCCTCTTGGTGCTTATCCTTTACTGAGCCGATTTTTCTTAATGGACTTTAATTTCCATCACTCATTAGGCATCGGCCCAATAATTATGAGTACGAGAAGTTCGGGCCAGAGATACCAAACCGATCCAATTAACTTTTTAGAAAAAAAAAATCAGGAATATTTAGATTTCGAAACGAGAAACATTTACATTATTCGAAAATCAGAAATTATTTTAATTAAAAAAAAAAAGGAAATCGTTGAAATCGGGAGAAATAAAAATTTATTTTCCGATTTTACCCCTACAAAGCATCCAAAATTTTAAATTTCCGCCACCTTATAAAACTGACAAAATATTCACCAGATTTCTGTACCAATAAAAATAGTCAAAAGCAAAATATCCAATCGTAGCCGTCGGTTCTCTAAACACAATGCCAGCCTCACGATTGTTCCGATCCAACGGCTTCACATTAATCTCTTATAAAACTCTCTCTCTCTCTCTCCATCTCCTCACTCTTTCCCTATATATATGAAACGCCACATACATTTCACCTATTCACCTCACTCTGCTTGTGCTCTCTCCACACTCGCAAAAATACAGTTCCACACAGTTTTATCTCTGCATTTTTCGATCTCTCCATTTTTTTTCAGGTGCGATTCACGCTCTACACACGCTCGATCTAATTATCGGTTTTTCATTTTTGCATTTTGCGATCGCATTTTTAATATGTGTAAGAATGCAAGCGATTGTTACGATTTTTATTTGATTTGATTTTTTTTTGTTTGATGAATCTGATTGTAGAAAGAGGTGAAGATGGTGAAGAATTACCCAGCTGTGAGTGAAGAGTACCTGAAGGCTGTAGATAAATGTAAGAAGAAGCTCAGAGGGTTTATCGCTGAGAAGAACTGCGCTCCTCTCATGCTCCGCCTTGCGTGAGTTTTTTGCGCCTCCGTAATTTTTTTTTTATTTTTTTTTGTTGTTTTTACGTTTTAATTTTGTGGATTTATGGATGTTGTTTGATATTGAATGATTTGTTTATGATAATGGTATAGTGATTTGATCTGTGGAGCACATTAAATTATGATCATCGTCGTTATGTTATTTTATTTTATATTATTGCGAATGTATTTGTGTTCTATCCTTCTTACATCTATTAAATTGATGCATATGATATTTAGAGAAGCATAATTAATTTGACTTGGGTATATATGGCTTATATGAATGATCCGATTTATCGAGCTGTTTATCTCGACACTTGATGATACCTCACAAGGGCTGCAGTTCCGTCTGGGGGCAAACTTGGGAGCATTTTTT